TGGTGCCCCCTTTCTGTGCTGAGGGCTTAGGGGGCATATGCCTGCCAGGGCCTCGTGGGGTTATCTGGGGGCTCCCTGGGGGCGTGAACACATGCTCTGGGTTCTGGGGAGGGAGACAGATTTGCCTTCTCCCTCGGTGCTCCCTGGGCCCTCTTCTTGGGCCCTCCTGGGCCCTTGCTGTCCCACCTGGCTCCCAGACCAACCCCCCAGGCTCTGGGGTATGGGTGGCTGTGACATTCAAGGACCTACATTTATAACTAGGGAGACTGGGTGGCAGGACCCAGGTGTCGCCGCCACACCGGCTTATCAAGGGGACACAGCCTGTCGACCCCATGATGTGACCTGAAGGGGGTATTCTGGCAAAAACCTGGGAGAAAGCAGTCATCTAGACCTTCCCACTAGCAAGGACCAGGAGTGATGGGCTGGCCTGAGCTCGTCCTCCCTGGAGGCTCCGCTGATGAGCGAGGGGGATCCTAGGTGTGTGGGGGGCAGACATGGCACAAGACGGTGCGCACCAGCTGGCCCTGGAGAGTGATCCTGGCACTGCGAGGTCAAGGCCTGCCTCTGGGCAATCCGTTGGGGGCTGCGGGCCCGGGGGCGGGGGGGGGGGTGGTGTTGGCCTGGGGCGCGGGGGGCCCGGCGGCGCTGTTCCCCTAGTCCAGTGTGCGCGGCTGCTCTCCTTCCTTCGCGGGGATCCGCCTCCCACGCGCTGCCGTCGGTCCCCCACGACCCGCCCCGCCCCTGGGCGGATGCCACCCGCCTGCAGGTAGGGGCTCCGGATGCCGCCTGGCTCCCAGGGGCCGACCCCCCCACGGATTCCGCCTGGGCCACCAGGTGAGTGGGGGTTCTATCCGACCGCCTCGGGATCCTGCTCCCTGCTCCCGCGGCGCCCTCCGCCCCCTTCTTCCCCGGCGTCCCACACTAACCTTCTCAGCCTCATGGTGGGGGCGGGACCTCGGGTCGCGGGAGACCTCGGAGCGCGAGAGACCTCGGGCCGCGGGAGCCCTCGGGCCTCGGGAGACCTCGGGCCGCGGGAGCCCTCGGAGCGCCGGAACCCAGCTGTAACCGCGCGCCCGCGCACCTCCGAGGCTCTGAGCGCGAAGCGAGTCGCCGGGCCGAGTGCTTTCCCTGCCCCCGCCCGGGCCCCGCCTCTGACCCCACCCCCTGCCCAGTCCCTCCCACTGGGCGGGGCCAGCGGCCCGGAAGCTCTGCCGCAAGCTCCACACGTTAGTCCTCCCCAGCCACGGACGCTGGGCCGGGACCTGGGCGCTACGGGTGTCCCGGGGAGCTGGGGGGCGTGGGGTGGTGGTGCGTGGTACCAGGGAGGAGGACGGCCGAGGGCTCTGCGGGAGGCTTGCCCGGCTGCGGGGGCCGCGGGAGGCCAAGTGCTGTCCCCCGGTGTCGCGCAGACCGTCCGCGCCCCCAAGCGCCCGGGCCCCGGCGGCGCCTGCCTCGCACCCGGTCCCAGGAACCCGCGCTTCCCTGCCCGGGGCTGGGCTGGGCACAGTGCCCGCCGTCCTCCCTCCTCCCCGCTTCCCTCGAACGGGAGGCAGCACCTCCAAGTCTTAGGGGAAGTAAGAACCCCGTGTAGGAACGAGCGGAGGAAGAGAAGGAAGGAGGGAAGGAGGCGGGCTCCGCTCTCCGATCGGGCGCCGGGTCCGGGAGGCCCGCCCCCAGCTTTGCCCCCTTATCCTTTTGGGGGATCGTGTGCCACACACCACAGCATATGTGGGTATTAAAGGCTCTTAGGGGCCCACTGCGTGGAAACCGGTTCACGTCTGCTCCTCCAAGGCTGTGGGGCTTGGCTCTCCTGTTTTCTCTCTGGGAAAGTGCGCGAAGCCGCGGAGGGTGGGTTAAAAGCCCCGTTTGCGCCCTTCCCCCACCCGGCCCAGTTCCCTCGGCCTCCTCTGCGCTGCCAGGCTGAGTCACTGTCCCACCCCGTCCCCCGCAGGCCAGGTAGAGCCAGTGAGGTGAGGTAGGTGGGGCCAAGAGGGAGTAGGGTGCTCTTCTTGCAGAGGCTGCCCCTGGAAGGGCCTGGAATCCCAGACGCCCCGCCTCTGGTGTCCGGGGAGCTGGCAAGGACAGTGTGTCCTCGCAGTACCCTCCCCTCCCTCTCTAAGTCCGCTACCCAGGCTGATGGGGAGGCAGAGGCCGGCCTCTGGGGATGGGGGTGCAGGAGACGGCAGGGTGTGAGGTGAGCTGAGCAGGAGGGCTCCCCTGACCCCAGCCTCCTCCAGCAGCCTGCCATCCACTCAACAAAGATATAGGCGCACCTACTGCAGGCCAGGTGCTCTGTGAGCGCGAAGGATGAACTCTGAAAACGGAACCTCTGCTCCATGGGAGTTAGCATCCCTGTGGAAACGGGAGAGGAAGCAGGGGCCGGGCCCCACGAGCCGCCAAGGAGGACGCGCAGGGAGGGGCGGGCCTGCAGGTGAAACCCGGCGGGAGGGGCTGGGAATGCAGCCCTAGAGCTCGGGGCTTCACCCCTTCCGGGCAGGCTAGGAAATTAGGGTGCAGGATTTAAACAGGCCAAGCGGGGCCACCCTCCCTTTTAGGTGGGGAGGGCACGCCAGGGAGCCAGGTCGGGACTCCGTTCACGTGTCCAGTGAGGGCACCGGCCGTCTGAACTTGGGGCGCCATGAAGGGGCCGGGAGATGGGGGCCCAGAGGAAAGGTAAGATTTGGCTAGGAGAGCAGGGTGTGGTCATAAATCAAATCATATGGAGGTCTCAGGACGCTTCTTATTCCCGGAACCGGAAAACCATTGCCATCCAAAGCCGCAGCTTGAGCAAATGTAGCCGGGTACACTTGGGGGAGGGGCACCGGCTCAGGCCCGCGGGTCTGGAAGGAGACACGATGTCGGTGGCCCTGCTGCCCCTCGGGTTGGCGGCAGTTGGCAGCAGAGAACCCGTTTGGCGAGGGCCAGCAGGTGCAAAATCCGCAGGTGAGGAGGATCGGCGGGTTGGTAACACCTCCCCCTCCCAGCCTTCCCGGGTCCAGCCCCCCACCCCCACCCCGCGAATCCCGGGACTCCCTCTGATTGGGAGGGGGGAGGGGCTACGCTGCATTGATTGGCCGACGCCTGGGTTGCCCTCTACCTCCAGAGGCCCCCCACGAAGAGCCCATGCTGCCCCCGGGGTTGGAGGGGGGGCAGGCCCCAAGTGCAAGGGGCTTTTAGGCGTGGGGAAGGGAAGGTGCCCAGTCGGGTGCCGGAAGCTCGAGGCAGCCCGGCCACTGCCCCAGGGCAGCGGGGAGGGAGGGAGGGAGGGATGGAGGGATGGGGAGAGGGGCTCCAGGGGGGCTAACCTGCAGCGCTGAGGGGTGCCGGGGCTGGTGGGGAGGCACCCGGCTCTGCTTCCTGGGCACTAGCCCCTCGCGCCAGGCCCCAGGCCAGGTGCTGCTACCAGGCCAGTCCAGAACCGGGACCGAGGGAACGTCCTGTTTGTTGGGCGGGTAGAGAAGGGGCAGGGATGCAGGTGGCTGGAAGGGGCCTTCTAGCCAGGCCTGGGGCGGTGCAGGGAAGGAGCACCTCCAAGACCAGCCTCAGGAGCCTCAGCCTGATAAATGCATGTTCTTTTCAAATCCCAGCTCTGCTTTTCAGGAGCTGTGTGACCTGGGGCAAGTTACTTAACTCCTCTGTGCCCAAATTTTCCCATTTGTGAAGTGGGAATAGTTACAACACCTTCCTCAAAAAGCAGCTGAGTTCATATGTGGTTATTGTGAGTTGATACGTATAAAACATTCACATGGACATTGGCCCGTGGGTCACACAGAGTTCTTTTAAGACAAATGGAAAAACAGAACGGCCCTCGGAGGCGCCTGCAGCTGAGAGGTTTTCCTTTCTTCCCCTTGACCGTGACCATGTTTCTCCGGCAGTCAGAGGGTGTGGAGGCAAAAGCCCACTGGAGGAACATCAAGGCTGCCCTGGGCACCAAGCCAGAACGGTATTGGTGCTGGGGATTGCGAGTTCTCGGTGCAGACGTGGAAGGGAGTGGCATGCACTTTGATGCTAGAGACCCAGGCTTCCCCCTGGGCAGTCCTGAGCAGTGCCCTGGGGCTCCCGCACAACCCAGAACAGGGGACCTGTGGGCAGCCCTGGTCCCGGGGAGCCCATCTTTTCTCCTAGCGGGTGTGTCTGTTTCCTGGGGAAGCCCCAAGTCACCACAAGGTTGGCATCTTAAAGCAACAGAAATGTACTCTCTAAGATCTGGAGGCTGGAGGTCTGGAATGAGCTCCTCCAGGAGCTCTGGGTGAGGATCCTTCCGAGGCATTCAGCTCCTGGTGGCCCCAGGCTTTCTTGGCTTGTCGCTGCTTCTCTTTCTCCAGGGTCATGACCTTCTCTGTATGAGGTCAGGTCTCCCTCTGCCTCCCCGGATAAGGACCTTTGTGATCACATTAAGGGCCTCCCCGGCTCATCCTGGACAATCTCCCTATCTGATTTCACCATATCTGCTAACAGAACCAGCAGGGCCCGGGGTGGGGGGGCCTCCTTGCCCCTGCAGGGACACCCGGGACGAGCTGTGTCTGTTAACTGTCTAATCTACACCCTGGGGGGATTCTCTGGCTCATCGGGAAAGATCCTTTAGGATTCATTACGAGTGACTGGAAGCCAGCTCTGCAATGGGCTCGGGTGAGCAGGGATCCTGCCTTCTGCAAGCAGGTCCCTCTGGTGTAAGGGGCACCCATGGGCTCATGCCTCGCGAGCGGATCTGGCCTCTGCGCGGCCTGCTCAGTCCGTGCTCCCTTTGCTTGCCGAGTGTGATATTCTACGATTTCGTGCGGCTATCATCAGGCTGAGTGGTTTTCACGATCACGGCCAACGGCGGTCACAAGCCAGCACGGCATGGCCAGCGCGGCCCAGCACACAGAGAGCGCGGGCCACACCCGCTCCGGACAATGTGTCCCGCTCATCCTCCTCATGCACAGTCCCCCGTCCCACAGGATACAATAAAGGCTATCCTTACACACAGAAACACGAGAATGTGACCCATAACGACCACAATAAATATATTTTTAAGTTCTCAACAGGCACACAGAAACATTTTCAGCAGCAAATATGCTTCATAACATCAGGGTGGTGTCCCCGGTCAGGGGCTGTGAACTTCACCCACGCCTCCCTCCCCAGAAGGGCACTGTAGGGCCGGGGCCCTGCACCACCACACCCAAAGGGAAGACACGTCTGTGGCAACCTTGGGAAATCCGAAGTCAAGCAAATAAAATAATAATTTGGAAAGGAAAAAAGAAACAATGTAAGGAAAGTTGCCTGGTTCTAGGAAAAGTCTTTTTTTCTTCATAGTAAAATAAATCATTTATAAAGAGGAAGTGAGTTCTGTTGAAAAATACTTGAAATATTCTCTCAGGGGGAGAAAACAATTCTTCACCAGCTTGGTGGGCCCCTGGGCGGGGGGCTTTGTTCTCTGCCTGTCCTGAGCCAGCAGGGTCAATTCCTCACGGGAAGCCGGGCCAGAGTGCCTGCTGCCAAGGACAGAAGGAGGCTCGTTACCAACCCGGGCTCCGCACGGGCCCCGTGGCCCGGCGGGGGTGGGGGTGGGGGGTACACTGGGAAGCCAGTGGTGCGTCTCACTAGGTAATCCAGAGGTCTCTAAGAGAAACATCCTCTGAAGACCTCACCCATCTTGTGAGTCTTCCGGCCAGTGGTAGATGATAAGCAGTCCTGGCCGGTAGGGGACCAGATGGCCCCCGCACCTCCTGCTTCCCTCAGGGAGGAGCCGGGACCCTGGCCCCGCTCGGCAGGTCCACGTTCTGTGTGAAGAAGCCATTGCGGAGGGAACCCACATGGAAGAAAGGGCAGGACTCGGTGGGCAGGGCTGGTTAACTGCCCTGCGCATCATTCCCAACGAATTCCTGTACCCAAGACCCGAAAGGCACCAAGCCCGGCCCCTGAGGGTCCTGAGGCTGCCTGTGCTGGAGGCCCTGCGTGTGGGGCCGGCGGGGGCAGAACACAGGCCGCCTGGCTTATAAGCTGACGCAAGCGGTGGGACCCACCCCGCGTGGCTTCTGGACACGGCAGCCACCACCACCCACCCCCGGCCCCATCTCGGGCTCCCAGGCACCCCGCCGGGGTTGGGGAACACTTCGGGGTTTACTTTGGGGATTAAGGCTGCAAATGAGGAGGCAGAAACATGCAGCGCCCATCCCAGCCCCCAAATGCCTCCCCAGGGCTGCCCTACTGCCTGAGGCTGTCTGTCCTGAGGTAGCTGCCAACAGTCGGGCAGCGACTGGGAGGCTCTGAGCCTCAAGGAAAGTGCCCATTTGAAGACGTTGCTTCCAGCCTTATGTCTGGGAACCAGCTGCCTCCCTGCTTCCCTGGGCACCTGCCGCGCCCAAGGGGGTGAAGTGGGGGAAGGGCAGTGAGAGTGAGCAGAGCAGAAGAGGCAGCCTGACGTCAGCTCAAGGCTCCCGGAAACCACATTTGGAATGCTGCTTCACTTGGGCTCCACCCAAACACAGAGCCAGGGTGTGGGCCTGGCGAGCGCCAAGGCTTGGCGGGCTCTGCCATGAGCATCTGCCATACTACAGGCTAGGGGCATGCTGGGATTGGGAGGTGGGTGGGCAGAAGTTTCCAGAACTACAAGCTAGGGGCATGCTGGGATTGGGAGGTGGGTGGGCAGAAGTTTCCAGAACTACAAGCTAGGGGCATGCTGGGATTGGGAGGTGGGTGGGCAGAAGTTTCCAGAACTACAGGCTAGGGGCATGCTGGGATTGGGAGGTGGGTGGGCAGAAGTTTCCAGAACTACAGGCTAGGGGCATGCTGGGATTGGGAGGTGGGTGGGCAGAAGTTTCTAGAACTACAGGCTAGGGGCATTCTGGGATTGGGAGGTGGGTGGGCAGAAGTTTCCAGAAACTCGCTGTCAGGAGGAGAAGACATGACTTCGCTTAGATCCTGTCAGTGTTGGCTCAACACAAGGGCAGTGCCACATGGCACGGTGTGGGGGAGGGAGATGGCTGTGTCCTCAGGGGCTCTGGGCACAGTGTGCAGGTAAGGACAGAAGAGTGAGGGCAGGTGTCCTGGGAGCAGAAAGCTGTCCAGAGGAGTGGGGCCGGGGAGCAGGGGCTGGGGGTGTGCTGGGGGCCGGGAGGCAGACAGGATGTTCATGAGAAAGAACAGTCCCAAGAATGTTCAGGCAGCAGAGAAGGGGTACGTGTGAAAGCCCGAGACACGGTGTGTTTGAGGGACTGTTGTTCAGTACAGCCTAGAAATGCATTGTGGGTGAGCTTCTGTTAGCATGAGTGTGTGTGAACCTGTGTGTGAATGAGTGTGAGCAGGTGGGTGTGAGCATATGAGCAGGTGTATGAATGAGCGGGAGCAGAGGACTGAGTTCTGTGAGCATGAGCAGCTGTGTGTGAGCAGGTGTGATGTGTGAATGAATGTGAGCAGGTAGGTGTGAGTGTGAGCAGGCATGTGAATATGTGTGAGCAGGTGTGGGTGTGTGAATGAGTGTCAGCAGGTGGGTATGTGAGCAGGTGTGTGGATGTGAGCCTGTGTGTGAGCATGAGCAGATGTGTGAACGAGTGTTAGGAGGTGGGTGTGAGGGTGTGAACAAACATGAGCTGAATAGGAATGTATGAGCAGGTGTGTAAATGTGAGCAAAAGACTGTGAGTTGTGTGTGAGCTTGAGCAGGTAGGTGTAAGCATGAGCAGCTGTGAGATGTGATGTGTGAAAGAATGTGAGCAGGTGGATGTCCGTGTATGAGCAGGTGTGTGTGAGTAGATAGGTGTGAATGTGTGAACAGGTGTGGGTGTGAATGAGTGAGCAGATGGGTGTGTGAGCAGGCGTGTGGATGAGTGTGAGCAAGTGGGCGTGTGTGAGTAGGTATGTGAATATGTGTGAGCAGGTGTGGGTGTGTAGGTGAGTGTGAGCAGATGGGTGTGAGTGTATGAGCAGGTGTGTGAATATGTGTGAGCAGGTGTGGGTGTGTGAATGAGTGTGAGCAGGTGGTCTGAGTGCGAGCAGGCGTGTGGATGAATGTGAGGTGTGTGAATATGTGTGAGCAGATGGGCGTGAATGTGTGAGCAGGTGTGGGTGTGTGGATGAGTGTGAGCAGGTGGGTGTGAACGTGCGAGCAGGTATGTGAATATGTGTGAGCAGGTGTGGGTCTGTGAGCGGATGGGCATGAATGTGTGGGCAGGTGTAGGTGTGTGGATGAGTGTGAGCAGGTGGGTGTGAGTGTGTGCAGGTGTGGGGGTGTGTAGGGCAGGGCGGAGCTCCAAGAGGCTGGGGGTAGGGCTCCAGGGCGCAGGTGGCCAGGTGACATGTGTCTGGGAGTGTGGACTTTCTTCTCAGGACTTGGGAAGCACCTCAGACAGCCTTAGTGCACGAAGCTGGGGAGAGGTCCCCAAAGTGGGAGCAGGCCTTCTGACCTTGAGCATGCCCCGAATTTTGGGGGTGGACCAAAGGCCCACCAGACACAGCCCCTGACCCGGGCATAGCTCTGTGTTCTCAAACTTGCGTTTCTTTGGCGAGCCTGACTCTGCGCCAGCGTCCGCGCCCCCCCCCACCCGCCCCAGCTCCCACGGGCCCTGGAACACACAGGGAACCTTCTCACAGCTGGGATGTTGCTCCACACGTGCACGGCGTTCTGGACGGCCCGGCCACAGACGTCCTGGATGGTCACCGGGTCGGCCTGTGGGGTGGACACGTCGGCTGGGGATCAGGGTGACGACCCCTGCCCCCCACAGTGCCCGCAGGCCTCAGTCCCGCGGGCACCACGTCGGGCCTTCCCAGACTGTGTCTCGGGCAACCTTGCTCTGCTCATGTGTCAAATCTGCTTCCTTTATGACCTTAGGAGGAAAAGAGGCTGAGATCCTATCGTAAAAATTTAACCAGTAGATTTTCCATTTTTTCATTCCCACAGGTCACAAGGCAAGGATTCCCCACCCGCTCCAGCTCAGAGGTGGATTCCCCTGAAGGATAAAGATGTCCTTGGTCTTTGAGCCAAGATTGTTCTGCTTCGGGAAGATAAGAGGCTTTGCTGGCAGACAGAGAGTTTTCTGAAGGGCCGGGGCCTTGGGAGCCAAGGAGGCTGCCTGGTGCCTGGATCCTGGAGTCCGAGTCTCCCTAGAAGGCCCCGAAAGGATGGGGAGGGGGTGGGAGGGAGGCGGACCTTCCACCGATGGGAGGGGGAGCCATGGAAGGGAGGGGCCATGGAAACTGAGGCAAGAAGCCACCTGGTCCCTGACACCCAACAGGAGACAGGCTGACTCCACCCGCGTGGACTCAGGGGGCTGGAGGGGTCCCATGTGGACTGTTCCTGAGCCCAATTGCTGTGGACACACCAACCTCTTCCTGTATCCAGACACCTGGCTGGGAGAAACACCCGATGGCTGCTTGTGCTGTATGGACAGATGTTTGTGTGATTTATCCCGCAGAACCCACCACCGGGACGTGCACAGGCAGGCTGAGGAATGGCGTTTGTGAGACTCGTGCTGCGTGAATAACCTCGGGAGCCTGGTTATGTACAATATATGATTTGGCCTCCAGGTCAGAACTGGCCCTTCTGTTCTGGACGCCAAGGGCTACGAATCTTGTCTCACATCCCCTCCTGCTCCAGGCTGGGCTGGCCCCCCAGGATGGAATCCCTGAGGGGAGGCAGACACACATAGCCCAGGCTCCTTGACGATATAGAAACATGAGAACATGGAAATGCAGCTCACTCCAAACTGCACGTAGGTGAGCCAGTGTTTAACCTCAGACCCTGTCGTTGGCCCTATAAATACGGCCCTTATGGGGATGGTCAGTGGGAAGTCTCAGCTGCAGAAGGCTGAGCCGCCCAGGCCTCTCAGTGGGGACTCCACCCTGGGTGTCTCCACGGGGCTTCCCCAGCTGATAAGGTCGGGTGTTGCAAGCACCTGATCTGATGTAACTTTGCCTTGTTCTCACTTATTGCCCCCTATTACCTTCATCTACGTGTAGATTCCTTTCGTCTTCTGTTTCTATTGGGTTTCTATAATAAAGTTTTCTTTCCTTTTGGAAGCTGACACTCGGCGGTTGTGAATCTTGTGCAGAACGTATCTGGCATAGTCGGCAGGGTTCAGGACACGCCTTTTCTGTTTCGAGGAGGGAACCCCCACCCTGACGCTGATATTCTCAGGTGGGAAGACCTACAGTTTTGCTCACTGCAAAGGAATGGTCCAAGCGGGCCGATCTGTGTGAGCCACAGGCAAGTAAACAAAGTCAGCTGAGCGGCCACATCTTCTGGATGCTGGCGGACTGTAGCTGGGACAGGTGAGGTGTCCTCGCTAGCTCGCGGGGATGGCGGGGATTTGACAGCATACAGGCGGGATGCGGAGCATCGTGATAAGCGTCAGGAGGAAAGACTCAAATCGGAAAAGGAGTAGCCGATTGCAATCTCAAAAGGCGCTGCTGCAATCTCAGACTGATGTTCTTTCTGGCCAAGTCCACACTTACCAGCATGTGGTGGAGAAAGGGCCATACGGATGGCCGAAGATAAATGCAAAGAGAGGAGAGGGAAGGGGGTTACTAGGAAAGTGCGCCCAGCTCTGGCTTCTGCCGGGCGACGTCTAGGACGATGATGAGACGGGGACTGACTAGAGCGTGGACGAGAGGCAAGCTCGCCCCGTTCAGCCTCGGTCTCTCAGAAGGAGCCCCTGGAGCAGCGGGGGGACCACCAGGCGGGGGTGAGGAAAGACACTATTGAGGATTTTCCTCAGCAGGAAGTCAGTGAGATTATGATATTTTGTGATATTTTGGAAAAATGGATCAACCACTATTGCTCAGGCCCTTGTGGACACTGGGCCAGAGGCCCCTTTGATATAAGGAAACCCCAACAAGTTCCGAGGATGATTAGTTAGCATGACTGGACCGGGGGTGGGGTGGGGTGGGAGTAACACCGGGGATGCAGACAACACTTCCTCTAAAAACAGGGCAGTTACCGAAGAGAGATTACGACATAACACTAGCGTCCGTTCCTGAATACCTAACTGGCATCCATAGTCTCAAGGGTCTCAAACTGGCTTTAATCGACGGTATGTATCAATTTGGAACATGTGCATTCCACATACACGGACACCGATGACCGTAGGCAAGCTAGTAGACCCCTGTCCGCTCCGAGGCATCTCCAGTAGCGCAGAGAAAACAATCCCGTATTCCCAGTGGACACAATGGTAATAATGACTCTGTTCATGGTTCCCTCCAGGCAGGTGTACTGGTACACCTGAGTGGAATAATCCTATTTGGTCAGTGAAAGAAAGTGACGGCGAGTGGCCAATAACACGTTATAAGGAATTAAAGTTACCCCTCCATTAACCGCTGTCCTGCCGGACATAATTACCTTCACTGAACAGATCCAAGCCCGTGCCGGCCCCTGGTACGCAGTGACTGATTTGGCAAATGCCTTTTTTACTATCCCTATTCCTCCCGAGTCTTGGACTCAATTTGCTTCACATGGCAAGGCCGTCAGTTTATATTTACCCGGCTGCCTTGAGGGCATGTACAAAGCCCCACGATCTGCCACCGCCTAGTAGAACATCTGGCCCCAATTAAGTTGCCCATTGGAATTCTAACCCCTCACTACACAGATGATAGTTTAATCCAGGGAGACCATGAGTCATAGGTGCAGGAGGCCTTAGAGTTGATACTAAATGAAACGAAAGGGATGGGACATTAATTCCTCTAAAATACAAGGATTGAGTCTGTTAAGTTTCTAGGAATTGTCTGGGATAAAAGAAAAAGAATTAACCCAAAGCTAATCAAAAAATTTTAAACTTTAAATCACCACAAAATAAAAAAGAAGCTCAGAAATTTATACGATTGTTTGGGTTCTAGAGAAACCATACCCCACATCTGGGGCAGATATTAAACCGTGTCTATAAAGTTACTCGAAAGAAGCATCAGTTTAATTGGGGTGCTGCTGGGGAACAGGTTTCTCAGCGAGTGAAACCAGCTATTCAAGCTGCTTTAGATTTATGGCCTGTTAGACCTGGGCCTGTTGAGCTGCCGGTCTCAGCGGAAGGGGAAAATGCTAATTGGAGTTTATGGCAGAAACAAGACAGCAAGCGGGTGCCTTTAGGATTTGGGGCTAGGAAGCTCCCTTCTGGCAGTACCTCTCATACCTCATTTGAAAAAACAATTATTGGCATGCTGAGGGACACCAGCTGGTACTGAGCTTATAACTGTAAATCATGTATTAATGAGGCCTCAGATTCCCAGTATGTATGGATTCCAGGAAATCCGACTACTCATAAAATCAGACATACGCAGGAAGCTAGTATAATGAAACAGAAGTGGTATAGACAAGATCAGGCTAAGCCTGGCATAAAAGGAATATCACCCACATGAAGAAGCTAATGATGTGGCTACTAATTCCAATGAGTCAGTATGTTCTACTGATGTCCCATCAGCCCATTCCTCTATGATGGGGAGGAAGCCAAATGATCATTTACCCGAAGAACCACAGCATGGCTGGTTTACTGACGAAAGGCAGAAGTTATTAGTAATGCTAACCTCTGGAAGGCTGTAGCTTACAACCCCCATCTTAAAAAGACATTACGAACACAGGGAGATGGGGTGAGTAGCCAAAATGCAGAGCTTTCTGCTGTTTACACAGTCTTAAGCCAAGAACAAGAGGGACAATGTCACCTATATACTGACTCATGGTCAGCGGCTAAGGGTCTAGCGGGATGGATGACATGATGGAAAAAACACCCAAGGACCATTGCCGGTAAAGAGATGTAGGGAAGACTCCCCATGGGAAGACATTTGGCAATGGGCCCGCCATACTAAAATTACCGTTTTCCACGCGGATGCTCACAGTGTGTCTACCTCCACAGAGTGGACCTCAACGAAGTAGCTGACTCGCTCGCCCAAATCGCAGCGAACATAACAGCCTGGGACTGACACCAAACTGGCGCAATGAGGTCATGAGAAAAATGGACATTTGGGAGAGCAGGCTACTCACAGGTGGGTCCAGGACCGTGGGATACCCATCACTCAGGAAGCCATAAAAGAAACCATATTAAAATGCCCAATTTGGGGGCACCTGGGTGGCTCAGCTGGTTAAGCAGCTGCCTTTTGGCTCAGGTCATGATCCCAGGGTCCTGGGATCGAGTTCCTCATTGGGATCCCTACTCAGCGGGGATCCTTCTTCTCCCTCTCCCTCTGCTGCTCCCCCTACTTATGCTCTCTCTCTCTCTCTCTGTCAAAATAAATAAATAAATAAATAAATAAATCTTAAAAAAAAAAAAAGCCCAATTTGTCAGATTTGGCAGAAGTAGAAAATTCCACAACAGTACAAAAGACAGATTCAGTGGGGAAGACTCCTCCACCCAAATTTGGCAAGTAGGTTATGTGGGGCTGGTACCCCGCTTCCAAGGTTGTTGATACATTTGTGGGGCAGTGGACACTTGTTCGGGGTACTTCATGGTTTCTCCCTTTGCCCACACCACCCAACAGAATACGATAAAACCTTAGAGACTATCTTATTATATTATGATGTAATTATTCAGATCCAGAGTGATAAAGGCTTCCACTCTGCAGGTAAGTTAGTGAAAGCTTTTGTCGCCTCATATAATATGGACTGGATTTATCATATTCCCTATTACCCTCAGATGGCTGGGTTGGTGGAATGGATAAAAGGACTGCTTAAACAGGAATTTAAAAAAATTAGCGGATGGCTCTTTACCAAAATGGAAGCTATACTTACCTGAGACTTTAAAAGTCCTAAGCAAGAGACCTACTAGTCAAAATGAAACTCTGCTAGGTCAGATGAAAACCCCTTATTTGCAAATAAGCAATGTGACAAAACCATTCCAATCAACATTAATATGCTGGAGTATTAATTCAGATGCTAAATTACCTTACAGAGCCATCCCTGAGTCTGCTGGACTAGATCTACGTTCTATGAGAGAAGCACAAATAAATTACAGTTGTCAGGTGGCTGTGCCTACCAGCCTAGGAATTCATTGCCCTCCCCCCAAAACATTTGGGTAGATCATGGAGCGGTCAGGATTGGCACAAGAGGAATACAAATATTAGGATGAGTCATCGATCCTGATTATCAAGGAGAGACAAAGGTCATTTCACTCAATTCTGGAAAGCAAATGCTCTCAATACAAAAATATGATTGGATTGGACAATTACTCTTGTTGCAGCCTGGCTCTGTCCCTGTAAGGGGAGATGGGGGTTTGGCTCCAGAGATGCTTGGAAGCTGGGGGCAAAGCCTTCGGTGACAAAGCCATCCGACAGTATTCCCACTCCTGCTGAAGTAATTGCTCAAGGAGGGGATGCTACAGTAATAGTAATGTATTCTGGTGATGAGAAGTTACATCATGTTCCCTTAACGTATGTTTCCCTCCACGAATCATAGATACGAATGTGGGTTCTGTGCTTTCCCAGGGAGACACAACCCACCCGTATCCTGCAGACTCAGCCCGCAGCTGTCTCCGTTGAAGTAGGACAACCGCTGAGCCTGCTCTGTTGGACCAACTGTTCTTTGGCTGGTATCACAATAGATATGAGATTTATTCCCAAAACTGTGTGGGACGTTTTCATAACCTCACTGACCAAACTCGTCAAGATAACTATAATTTCACTATAGGGCTACAAGCCGTCACCTTGTCCGATGATGGTGAATATACATGTATAAAAGGGAGAAAGCAGACCCCCACTGATGTCAGTTTTAAACGAGACTCAATACTTGTAACAGTGCATAACAATCCTACTGTCCTTTTAAGAGAAAATAATTTCTGGGTACACCTGGCAACTAATGTGTTAAACCTCAGTTCTTTGTGTACTCAAAGGAAATAGTCCCCAAAACCTATTAAGACAAAATATCATTGGCAGAGGGACTTCTTTAAGTAAATTCTTACACCTCAATAGTACTAATCTTCCATTATCAATTGCTAACATTGATGTGCCTCCTCCCTTTCCCATATTAGGGACCTATGCCTTTCACTGAAATGTGTGAATTGCTCTACAATTCCTTCTACTTGTAATCGTAACTCTCATATATACTCCCCAGTCGACACTTCGTTACCGCCTTTGTGCAAACCTCCAGTATAACCATTCGCCTAACCATCATCAAGGTGCGTGTGCTATAGGGAAACTTCCTGCCTGTCGCATCCTCTTGAAAGTCTTCGCAGGAACTGCGCCTTGCCCGCTGATTGTGATGATCCTCTAACCCTGTTACCTCCTTCTGCTGATGTTGCTCTCACAGCCAGCATTTGAGCTATACCTGGATTAATAATGTGTGAACAGAATGAAATAACACAGCTCTCTTGCATGACCTCTAAGATAGTTAAGGATACTGCGAATGCCCTCACAACCATGAATCAGGAATTAACTGCTTCGTGAGAAACATTATTACAAAATAGAGCTACTGTAGATTACCTTCTGTTGCAGCATCACTTAAAATGTAATGAATCTCCACGAACGTGCTGTTTTAACATTACTGATAATTTTTAAAAATGGATAAATTTATAAATAACGTTGAGACATGAAATTGGCCAAATCAGTACTTGCCCTGGTTTGATTGGTTACCCCACTGGGGAGGGTTTTTAAGGGATGCCTGACTTATAATTCCGCTCATTGTGTTACTTACAATGTGCTGCTGGACTGATGGATATGTGAAAAGTGCTTTGCAGGTATATATGGTGTTGGATTATGCGTGGTACCTCAAGAACTGAATGTGCCATATGGACAGATGTTTGTGTGATTTATCCCGCAGAACCCACCACCGGGATGTGCACAGGCAGGCTGAGGAATGGCGTTTGTGAGACTCGTGCTGCGTGAATAACCTCGGGAGCCTGGTTATGTACAATATATGATTTGGCCTCCAGGTCAGAACTGGCCCTTCTGTTCTGGACGCCAAGGGCTACGAATCTTGTCTCACATCCCCTCCTGCTCCAGGCTGGGCTGGCCCCCCAGGATGGAATCCCTGAGGGGAGGCAGACACACATAGCCCAGGCTCCTTGACGATATAGAAACATGAGAACATGGAAATGCAGCTCACTCCAAACTGCACGTAGGTGAGCCAGTGTTTAACCTCAGACCCTGTCGTTGGCCCTATAAATACGGCCCTTATGGGGATGGTCAGTGGGAAGTCTCAGCTGCAGGAAGGCTGAGCCGCCCAGGCCTCTCAGTGGGGACTCCACCCTGGGTGTCTCCACAGGGCTTCCCCAGCTGATAAGGTCGGGCGTTGTAAGCACCTGATCTGATGTAACTTTGCCTTGTTCCCATTTATTGCCCCCTATTACCTTCATCTACGTGTAGATTCATTTCGTCTTCTGTTTCTATTGGGTTTCTATAATAAAGTTTTCTTTCCCTTTGGAAGCTGACACTCGGCGGTTGTAAATCTTTTGTGCAGAACGTGGGTCACCTGCCAGAGCTGAAAGACATGGTACCTACATTTGGCACATCTAGGTTTTCCCCACCTGCAGCAGGAATGCAGGTCCATAGCAAGATGCGAGCTGTTATAGAAAATGTGGGAAGCTCCCTTCTTGGACTTCTTTGGGTTTGGGACCACTTGCTACCTGCCAAACGCATGTGCAAAACGATCAAAAGTCAGTATTTTTGCTGTCCTCTATGTGTGCTAGAAACTGGCACCCACATTTGGAATCTGCACTTTTTGGCTGGGCCCACTATTACTTATTCAAAGTTGTTTTTTTTTTTTTGATAAATAGTGCAGGTTACAAACCTAGTTCTGGCTGCTTTTATGTGGTGGCATTAGACTTCCTAATGAGGAAAAATCACCACAGATGTGGAAGAAAGCAGGAGAATCATGAGAACACTTCACTTACTGCCGTGAAAATGACTTTTAAAACTGTAACTCACAGATGGTATTCTAGGAGAACATAACTTACCAAACCAATCTCAGAAGAGATGGAAAATCGTAGTAGGGCCGTTTCTGCAGAAGAGTTACCCCATTTTATTTCTTTATTTTATTTTTTTAAAAGATTACTTATTTATTTATTTATTTATTTGACACAGAGAGAGAGACAGAGAGATTACAAGTAGGCAGACAGGCAGGCAGAGGGAGAGGGAGAAGCAGGCTTCCCACGGAGCATGGAGCCCGATGCGGGGCTCGATGCCAGGATTCTGTGGTCATGACCTGAGCCAAAGGCAGACGCCTAACCGACTGAGCCACCCAGGCGTCCCAGAGCTACCCCATTTTAGCACAATGGCCGCAACAGCCTATCCACACAGTTTCATGGGAGAATTCCATTTTTCAGGTAGGTTTATAAAGCAGGTTCCACGTGGACACCTGCATGGAACAGAGCAGTTGTCTCGAGCTGCTCACAGCGCATGTCCCAAAGGAAACGTCGTGCACCAGAATTCAGAAAGACATGAAAAGAACCATGCACCCAAATGAGTGAATTTTCCCCAGATCCTGGGGTTGCTTCCTTATTAGGAACCCTATCAGCATATCATATCCTCTTCATAGATCTAAAGAGGAAAATAACTAACGATCTCCACAGACTTAAAAAAGAACGTTTGATGGAAACCAACAACTCCTCTTGATGAGATTACTCGAAAACACGGCAATCAGTGGAAACTTCTGGAAAGTTCCCTAGCATAGTGAAATACATCAACCCCGACCTGGGAGCCAGCTGTGTAGGGAAGCCTTGAACACATTTCTGTGACAGGCAAACACAGACAGGGCTGTCCCATCAACGCTGCGATCCAACACTGTCCGACAGGCGCCTGCACCGCGAGACAAGAGCAGGGTGTCTCAGGAGCAAACTTAGAAGAAAAGGTGACAGCTCTTTGCAGAGGACCAGCTCAAATACCCAGAAAATCTAATCGAATCTACCGGAAACTACCGTAATCGGCGAGGTGACTCAACAAGGAGCCAACAAATGCACAGAAATCAACAGTGTGTCGTGCACACATCAAACCCAGTCAGATGGCAAAACAGAAGGTCCCGAAAACACAGTGGGACGCAGGACCCAACGCAGCTGGGCTGCACAGGAAAGCGTGCACCCCGCGGGCCCTGTGGGGGGCTGGAGCCTGGGCAGGTGGGCACGGCTGTGAGGATGACAGAACTTGGCGCATCAATGTCCCTCCTGGGATCCATCCCGCATATGTCCCCACACATGCCCTGCATCGCGGTCTTGTTTGTCCCCCTACAAGACTACAACAACCCCAATACCCATCAATGGGGAACAGGCGGAACACGGTTTTTGCGGCCATACAAAGTAAAACTGCACAGAACACTGCCGCTGAAGCAGCGAACGAGGGAGGTGGATGTGCAGCGGAGGGGTTTCCGAGGGGACTGTTCAGCGGAGAAAGCCAGCTGCAGAGCAGAGCGGGGCCTCACCAGATTTGCCTGTATTTGCATAAAGCATCCTGGAGGTAACCAGGCAAGGGGGACAGGGCCGGGCGGCGAGGAGCCTTTCTGCTGTGAGCGTGGGGGAGACGTCCTGAGAAGGGGGGACACCAGGCCCCAGCGGGGGCTGTCCTGAGGGGGCAGTGCTGGGAGGGGCCCGGGCCAGGTGAGCCCAGGACGCTGCCCTCAGGGTCAGGATTCAGGCAGGCGGAGAAAACCCAAGCTGTCTGAGCCCCAGAGGGTGAGTACATGTGTGTGCGCATGAGTGCACATGTGATTATGTGTACGCGTGTGGCGTATACCCGTGCACTCTGTGTACTATGTGTGGAGTACATGCGTGTGCATGAGCTCGTACGGAGTGTGTGGCGTGTGCCCGCGTGCACTGTGTATGGAGATGTTTTTGTGCACCAACCGGGATCCCCACGTGCCCAGAAGTGCAGGAGCCACGTGCAGGGGACGCCCTCCAAGGCCACCGACGGGTCTGTGCTTCGGGAGTGCAACGGGCCCTCGTGAGCCCCAAGAAGGGGAGGCTCCGGGGTGGGGCCATGAGCCGTGCTGTCCCCTGGAGGCACTGGCATGTCCCTGGGGAGGCCTCCGTGCCCGCCACCCAGACTGCGGCGCTGCACGTACCTCCAGGAAGCGAGTGGCTACGGTCTGGTCATCTTGGCTCAGCACCAGATTGTCTACGAACATCCAGAAGAAGGGCTGCTGGCTGCCTGGCCTGGGCCTCGCGTACTGCAGGACGCGGTGGAACTGGAACAGGTACCACGCTGGGTGGTGGGGGGAGGGTGTGTACGTGTGTGGGGGCGGTGCCCGTGAGGGGACAGGGCGGGAGCGGGGAGGCTGAGGGGCTGGGGGGCAGGGGTGACTGCGGGAGGGCCGCTCTGGCGTGGCTGGCCTGCTGCGGGCCCCACCTACTCCCCAGGGCAGGCCTGTCCCCGCCAGAGCGGCTGAGCCTCAAGGGCCCCGGGGTCCGTGTGGCCCCGAGCGCAGACCCCAGCCTCACCCAGGCGCCCTGCGTTAGGAAGGGACGACGCAGGGCGAGAGAAGCCCGCGGGCAAAGCGCACGTGCGTGTCCTCCTGTGCATGTGTCCACGCAGAGCACTTGCGACAGGGACACAGAGCACAGCGGGTGAGGGTCAGGCAGCTTCCACGGTGACGGATCCCCCCCCCCAACTCTCAGATGCAGCGTGGCTTCCCGTGGGTCAAACCCACCAAACCGTACTCGCTGAGTGGGCAGGCTACTCGTGCGGGTGAGGCCGAGGACAACTGTTTCTCAGAATGCCGCTGTCCCTCAGGATGCAGGAGGGTGTGGGGACGAGAGGGCCCGGATGCGGGCAGACCGCCGTCTCTTACCTGGAGGATGGTCGCAGGCGTGGCCAAGGGCGGGTGTGGAGCCGTACACGAGGTCGAAGGGGCCCCATCCTTCCACCTGCGGGAGACAACACGCTGTCCTGCCGGAACAGCCCTGTCCGCTGCAGGCTTTCAGGGGCCAAGTGTCCCCACAGCAGCGGGCACCTCATGTGTCCAGGTGGGAGGATTACGACGAGGCTGAGCCCCTGCAGAGCCCCCCGGTGGGGCAGTGAGGCCCACCAGTCAGTCCTGCCGCAGTGGTTCTCGGTCGCCACTGGCCTCGGGGACGCGCGGAGCCCGGCCTCCATCCTCTGAGGGGAGGCCAGCCCTCCGCAGGGCACTCGGGGTCTGAGGTGACCCCTCTGCGCCTTACAGAAGCGCCCCTGGGAAGGTTGGCACAGTGACGCGCCAGGATTCACGTGGAATCCGTGTGTGCCCTCGACGTGACATCCGGCGGCCCGGAGCTAACCGCCGGGCCGCCACCTTCCCTGCCAGCCGGTCACTGCAGGCCCGCGGAAAATGATAAAATCCACCCCCACTCATGCCTGAGCAGACAACAAAAGGATGCTCTTCAAGAACAGGTGCTCCTCTCCGGGTGGCCTGAGGGACTCCCGCTAACGACAATCCCAGCCCCTGTCTTTCTACTAAAATAAATTAACGAGAGACCCAGATACCGGACCCCTGGTTTCCTAATAGCCCCTGCCCCCTGGACTGTCCCCCGAACTGCTCAGCAAGAGCCTGCATCCTACGGTAAGCCCCCAAACCTTGAGCCGCCTCCACCCTGTCCCCGTGTCCCCAAGGGCTAATGTCGCTGAGTGTGACCCTGGGGGCATCTGGCCACGGGGCTCTGGCCCAGCTTACGGCAGGGGTGTCCGGACAGAGGAGGCGGGTCAGGGGCGCAAGGCGCCGAGTGTGGGCTGACGGTTCCAGACAAGCAACCCGACAGTTAGCCGCTGACCCCCCAAACCTGTCACGGTGAAGCCGCGCACAGAGAAAGACGGAGTCTAAGCGAGAACTCCCAGTTCCCCCCCAAATCCCTCCCCTCCAGCCTGGAACAGAAACCCGCCGGAGTTCACTTTAAATCTCCTGGAAACCCACAGCCAGGAGCAGGTGGGGACGGCCGCTCCCCATCTCTAGGAGGGGCTGCGAGCAGTCCGGTCCGTGTCACAGGCCTCGTGAAAGGAAGTGAGGTGGGAGGGGTGGCGCGGGGCGCTGAGTGATGCCACGCACCCCGGAGCTGGGGTTGCTGTAACAGCTGTCCCCATGGCTACTGAGAGAACACAGATTTCGAGTATTACTATCAAAAATGATGGCACACATTGCTGATGGTCGTAGGCATCACATGACTATCAATGATAGAGGCCACAGGCTAGCCGTAGAAAACAGATGTCCCGCCTTGCTACTGACCGCAGGCTTCGCTAGGGAAGGCGGGTGTCTGGGAGCCACAGCCAGTGGGCAGGGAGATGTCCCTGTCCTGTTGCACACCCTGTCTGAGGACTCGGCCCTGGGGTTGGGATGAGCATCATGCGGGGGCACGCTCCGGAAATGCCCCACAGTGGGTTGTCCACAGGGGGTGGGGTGAGGGCAGATGTGGGGTCTCGGATGAGGCCCATGGTAATGAAGGTTAAGGGCAGGGGGTTCGGGTGTGCCCCGCCCCGTGAAGAGACCTGCGCTGGCTTCGGGACAGGGGAGCCCGGGGCAGGACGAGGCTGCTGGGCTCCCCCAGGCACGGCCAGAGAGGAGGACTAGCTCCTCAGACCATGGGCTCCCGGGCCGGCCGGGGTGCAGAACGCTGAGGCAGGGCAGAGCAGGACCCCCACCGGGCCCCTCCTTGTGACCAGCCGGCCCCAAACCCTCTGCCCACGGGTGGTGGTTCGCAGGACCATGGGCTCCAATCCTCTCTCCTGTTGCCAGAGCCCGACGGACCAGGTCCTCCTGTCCCGGCGCCTCCAGAGGAGGCTTCCCAGCCCCTTCCCGCCAGCTGGGAAGGGCTCTGGGCTCAGCGGTGTCCTGTTGAGTCATCGGGAGGCACTTCCTCCAAGGCCACTGTCTGGGCCAGCAGGAAACAGCCTTCGAGGGAGCCGGAACATTCTGCCGCCGTGTTCGGAGGATGCCCCCAAACAGTGACCGGCTGTTCAGTTCAAGACTTTCTGTGAGATGGCGGGCGGGATTAAGCCCACAGTCCGGGCACCACCGTCCCCAGTGCTGGGACTGGCCCCTGGCATTTCAACCCCTCGGCTGGAGGTCGGGCCCACGGCTCTGCTCTGGGCTGTGGGCAGTGTGGGGGTCACGAAAACCACCCTCTCCTCTCTCCCACTGCCCGTGGCGTGCCTGCCATCCCTGCAAGCCACACGCCCCGGCCCCCACGGGATGTCCCGCACACCTGCGCTCACCCTGGCCCCAGAGGCACACGGTACTACTTACGTCCCTCCTCACAACATCCGTGACATCGTCCAAGTGCTTCAGTCCTCCCGGGGTGGAACCACTCTCCAAGAAGCCCAGACTCTCGAGCTCTGCAAGGGGAGACATGAGGAGGGCACAGAAGGGCCAGCGTTTGACCCCCGCAGAATGAAATGGCCAAAGACTGACCCGAAAACATGAGCAAACGCTCTGTTTAACCAGGCGACTGGGGCTGAGGATGAAGCCGTTCGTGACATTCCACACCAAGCAAGCCAACTCGACTGTGTATTGATTTAAGTCAAGGAATTTGTTGCAGAACCAGGCCTTCCGGGGCTGTGGTGTCATGCTCTGAGTTAGGAAATCCGCCAGGCTGCGGTGTGCAGGCTGAGGTCACCCAGCCAGGCTGTGGGACACGTGGGCGTGGCTGCGGGAGCCCCGGGCACCGAGCCCTCGGCCTGCTGGTGGGAAGACGAGTGCAGGAAGGACCTTACACATTAGACCAAGGGATGCAGCGTCCGGGCGGGGTGGCCTGGGGCCGTGCCTCCTGGCTTCTTCGCCGGCACCAGGTTCGCAGCTGGGGTGCCCGTGAGGCCGCCGGGACCGTGGTGCGCAAGGCTCGCAGGGAACATTCTCCGGCTCCCGTCCCCAGTGCAGGACCCCCAGTCCTCTCACTACGCTCACCTCTCCTGATGTCCCCAAAGAGGGACAGCACCCGGACTGGCTCTCTCTTCCACACGGGCACTGTTTTATACGTCTCGAGGGGATTCTCCTATTAAAAACACAGTTCTCATGGTGACTCGGTTGCGGAGCCTGCGAGGCACAAGGAAAATTCTTTCTGGTCCCGCAGAGGCATCTCCCCATCGAGGGAGACAGGCCCTGCTCTGCCCACGCGGCCCCCCAGGCTGAGGTCTGCAGCCCTCACTCCCACCGGGTCATCTCGAGCAAGGGAAAGGCAGGAGCGAGGAGCTTTTCCTGATCGTGGAGGAAGACAATTCTATCTGAGAGGAAGCACTTCCTCTGGATTTCTTGGGGGATCCTGAATAGGTACAGCAGTGGGATTCCCCGACTCCTCTCCTTTCCCGTGTGGGCTCTCGGTGTGGTCCCTGAGCCACCTGGCAGCCCTCAGAGCTCCCAGCCGAGGACAAAGGACCGGAGAGCCGGGGGAGGACACACACCCACCCCTTCCAGGACCCCCACTCGTGAATCCAGGAGGATGCACTTGGGGGTGCCTGGCCTCCCACAAACAGGGCATCAAGCCACCACCTGGCTGGGAGCAGGCCTGAGCAGGAGCCCCAGAGCCACAGGGGGAAGGGTCTGTCTGTGGCTGGAGCCAGTGGGTGGGGGGCTGGCAAGTTCAGAGGTGGGCGTGAGGAGGGCAGGGGGTCCAGCACGGGTGTGGCTCTGATGGACCCTGGGGGCGTCCTGGTCCCCTGCTGCAGCTGGGGAGGGTTGGGGTGGGGTGGGGAGCTCCTTCTTCCCTGCCCCCCCCCGACTCAGCACTGGGCCAGCATTAACACTTCTGAATATCGACTTCATTTCCTTCCCAAGGGAAATTTCCTGCAGCTGGCCAGCATGGCGTCTGTCTACACTGGGATGGATCCCACTGATGGAGTCGGAAGAAGGTTCTACTAGGATCGCATGCACCTCCTTTTCCAAAAAGCACCATAAAGGCACGTCGGCCATGGGGCATAAGCTGTCCAGGCTCCCGGCCCGTGCCAGGCACCTGGCTGGGCCCACCCCTATGCCCAGGTGGCCAGCAAGGTGGTGCAGGGTGTTCCCAGAACTGTCGTGGCCGAGAACCCGGGTAAGGGTGCCCGGGGCCAGCACCGGACCCCAGGAGAGAGGGGAACCCATGGAGGTGGGGAAACACCCTAGGGTCAGCACACACCCTCTCCCAGCCCACCGGCGCCCCCAGCCCCGTCAGGGAGACACCAGTGAGATGCACGGCTAGGGCACATCCGGGTGGGCGGTGGGCAGCCCTCTCACCCCACCTGCTTCCCGCCACACAGCAGCCGCCCCAGAAAGCCAGCTCCATGGGGACTCTTCCCACCTCCACAGGGTGAATCTTGCTGGGTGAGGAGAAGACTCTGCTCAACCTCCAGAAGGAGCTGGAGGCTGGGAGGAGCTGGAGGCTGAGAGGAGTGGGAGGCTGAGGGGGGAGCTGGAGGCTGAGAGGTGGAGGGGGTGCCTGGTTTTGCCAGATCTGGGTGTGGGTCCCTTGCTGTCCCTGCTTGCTCACCCAGGGTGACCACTCTTCTGTCTTAGCTTCCTGGGGCTGCCGTAACACCGAATATAAACTGTGACTTAAAACCACTCGTTTATTTTTACTCTGGAGGCCAAAAGTCCCAAGTCCAAATGTGGCGGGTCTGGCTCCCTCTGGGGACTCTAAGGGAGGGTCCTCCTGCCTCTCCCAAGCGTCCCTGTGCTGGCCAGCACTCCTTGGGCTCTTTGGCTCGCAGACAGTCCCTCCAGCCTCTCTCCCCTGGTCACGTGGTTGGCTTCCCTCTGGGTGTCTCCATCCCTCTCTCCTCTCTCCTATGACACCTGTCATTGCCTTGCAGGTGCTCCCCAACCAAGCTGATCCCACCTGGAGATCCGTAGCTGAATCACATCCACAAAGACTCTAGTTCCACCATCGGCCACATTCACAGGTACCAGGGGTTAGGACTTGGAGGCCATAGTTCAACCCACTTTGATGAACCCATAGCTCCTGCTTAGTTCACGGCTCCTGGCCTCCACCCTCGAGGGGTCCCGCATCCATGCCCCTCGTCCGTGCCCCATTTGTGCCCCAAATCTGTGCCCTGTCTGCCTCCCAAGTCTGTGCCCTGTCTGTGCCCCAAGTCTGTGCCCCATCTGCATCCTGTCTGTGCCCCGGGTCTGCACCCACTGTGCCCCGAGTCTGGATCCTGTCTGTGCCCTGTCTGTGCCCCAAGTCTGTGCCCCATCTGCATCCTGTCTGTGCCCCGGGTCTGCACCCCGTCCGTGCTCCATCTGCATCCTGTCTATGCCCCAGGTCTGCACCCCGCTGTGCCCCGTCCATGTCCCGTCTGCACCCCGTCTGTGCCCCGAGTCTGCACCCCGCTGTGCCCCGAGTCTGGATCCTGTCTGTGCCCTGTCTGTGCCCCAAGTCTGTGCCCCATCTGCATCCTGTCTGTGCCCCGGGTCTGCACCCCGCTGTGCCCCGTCCATGTCCCATCTGCACCCCGTCTGTGCCCCGAGTCTGCACCCTGTCTGTGCCCCGAGTCTGGATCCTGTCTGTGCCCTGAGTCTGTGCCCCAAGTCTGTGCTCCATCTGCACCCCGTCTGTGCCCCGAGTCTGGATCCTGTCTGGGCCCCAAGTCTGTGCCCCATCTGCATCTTGTCTGTGCCCCGGGTCTGCACCCCGCTGTGCCCCGTCCATGTCCCATCTGTGCCCACTGCCTACGTCTTTGCTCCCATTTGCTGGACTTAGGGGTGCACCTCTGCTGAGCCCCACGCCCACCTGCTGCAAATGCCTCACTCCCTGGCTTGAAAGAAGCACACCTGCCAAACCATGGTAATTTTCAAAAAACAAGATCGTCTAGTGGAGCGCACCCTCAAAGAGGAAAATGAGGCAAGAGCATTTGCTTAAAAGCCTTAGTTTCATCATCAGCTATCAAAGCAGAGGTGCCTTCTGCCACTGGTAGCAGAGAAAGCTGAGGGTTAGGGCCCCTGCGCATGGCTCATCAGTCCTGGGAGCCCAGCCCCCCTCCCCTGCCGCTGCGGCACCCCCCCACCTGCCCACCGCCCCTCACCGACTCGCGGTCACAGAAAGCCTTCAGCCAGCCCCGCCATTTCCTCCTCCTGTGCAGGAGCCCGCTGTGGGGGAAGGGCAGGCACAGGAAACACACCCAGTTGCTCATGGCCTGAACTTTCCCCGAGGTTCCGGGGCCGACCAGCGTGTCCACGCACTCGAAGCAGTAGCATCTAGAGTCAAGCAGAGTCCCAGTCATGGAAGTGGCCTTCCAAAGGCCACCAGGCAGCAGGGAGCGGTGGAAGCCACCCTCAGGCTCACGGAGAAAGACTCACCCCGCACGCATGGGGCAGGGATGAGAGTGAGCTGTCACCCGGGAAGGGGGACCAGTCCCACCTAGGGACCTAGAGCCCACGAGCGAGCCATCTGCAGAAGACAGCGAGGTGGGGGGTGATTAGCGGGCAAAGACAGATTCCACAGAATCCGCTAAGCCTCCGGTCTGCCCCACCTGCGGAGCCTGCGAGAAGTTAGGGTCTCCCAGGGAACCCAAGTGCACGGACATCCGCTGGGGGGCAGGTCTGGGGAGGAGGGAGACGGAAGTACAATGATGGCCCAGAGAGAGCGAGCGGGGAGAACCCCTGGCTGGAGCCTGGCCAAGACCCTGACCTCCACCCCCGGGGAGCGGGGAGCGGGGTTTGCGTCACTTCCCCGCTCATGACTGAGGAAGCCACACGTCTTGGCACTAACAACAATAAAGAGAAAAATCAGGAATGCAGATCTTCTGACGCCTCACCTCCCACATGTCAGGGCTCAATACCAAACAAAACACTTGGGATGGACATGGAAATCATCTTGGGGGGAAATCCCCCCACGCTGCGGGCCGAGGAGCCCAGAGGCTGGGCGAGCCCTGGATGGTGGGCAGGGGCTCCTTTGCCCATACTGCCCCCCAGCCCCTCAAGCCCCCCCGCCCCGCTGAGCCCCTGCCCCCAGCTGGGCCGGCGCCCCCGGGCTCACCGGGTGCAGTCGGGGTTTTCGCAGATGAGCAGCGTCTCTCCCGCGCAGCAGATGGAACAGTATGACTGGTACCCATCATCGTCGTACAGGAAGAGGCAGTCCAGAAACTTGTCCTTGGTGAGGGGCAGAGCCAGGATGGCACCCCCCTCCGCCCCGAGGCCTCCAGCAAGCCACCCCTCAGCTCCCTGCTTACCTTGCACGGAGCGCACATCCCCCCTTCAAACAGAGGGTGCTGTGTGTGCACCTGGAAGCTCCCACAGCAGATGCACATGTCTGACGCGGACGTCCGACGCGCCCCACGGGTCATGACACCAGCAAACAGAGCAACAGACTTAGCAACGATCGTAACGGAAGAAGTGCAAGACCCGTACACGGATAACTACAGAACGTTGCGGAAAACAATGAAAGATCTAAGCAAATGGGACGGTATCTCAGGATCTCCTGTGTACGGATCAGAAGACTTAGCCTGGTTACAGCTCCAGGTCTCCCCAGCTGCTCTACAGATCCCCCTCAAGATCCCAGCTGGCTTTTCTGTTTTGGGTTTTGTTTGTTTGTTTTTTGATTTTTGGCAAAAATTGATAAACTGATCCTAAAATGCATATGGAGGGGCGTCTGGGTGGCTCTGTTGGGTAAGCCGCCGACTCTTGGTTTTGGCTTGGGTCCGGCATGATCTGAGTCCTGGGACTGAGCCCCTGACCTCAGGCTCTGTGCTGGGCGTGGAGTCTCCTTCAGATTCTCTTTCCTTCTGTCTGGCCCTCCTCCCTCCCCCCTCCCCCGTCACCCCCTCCCCTGCGCATGCTTGTTCTTTCTCAAATAAATAAATACATCTTTAAAAAATGCATATGGAAATACAAGGGATCCAGAACAGGCATATCCGCAGAAAAACAAAGGAGATTCATGGTTGCCTAATGCTGAAAAGGGGAGGTGGTGGCCAGGGTGGGGTCCTGGGTTTCTTTTTGGTGATGAACATGTCCTAAAATTAGACTTCGGTGAAGGTTGCATAACTCTGTGACTGCACTGGTAGATACTGGAATGAAGCCTCGGGGGGCCTGGGGTGGGTGCAGGGAGAGGAGCAGGGCCCCCGCGACGGCCAGGGCCTTCTCCAGGGCCAGCGGCTGCGTGAGGCTGAGCAAGGCTGGCCAGAGCTAGCTGACCTTCCCCTCTACCAGGGCCGGGGCTCACCTTCTATGTCTCTCTGGTTAACCTTGACTTCATATGCAAGAAGATCTGGAAAAGAAAACAAGAAGGAGACCGTCCCCTCTCCTGCTTTGCTCTCATGTAAACATGGCCAAGTGTCATGGGGGTGACCTGATGTCACAGGAGCTGGGGGGCAGCGGAAAGGGCCTCCTGCCCCTCCCCAGGCGTGTGACTATTCTAGAAGCCTGGGACCCTAGATATGGCCCAGGCCTGGGGTTGGCATCCTAAGTGATGGACCCAGTACCCTTACCTCTGCGGGGCCCAGGGGAAGCCGGTGCTGACAGCTCGCTGGAGCCCACCAGGATGACATCCATGCTGTGCTCTGTGTCCGGCTCCAGGACTGGGACAACCACATGGAGACCCCGCCAGGAGAAAGGACATGTACAGAGGAAGAAAGTGGCCAGTGGGCCTCTGCCTGCGAGCCCTGGCTCCCAGCATGGGGGATGCACCTGGCCACCTCCTATGGTACCACCTGCTCCTCCTGACCCAGCATCCAGGGCCAGAAAGACCTGTGGTGAGTGCCAACCTTGCCAGGAGGCTTGATGTGTTCCTTGTGGCAAGTCCCTCCCCGCCCAGGGCCCCTGCCACAGTGTGGGGTCCTGTGGGCTTCTCCCCACAAAGGGGAGGGCAGGAGGCCTTAGGGGGGGCAGAGGGGCCCAGGTCTACCCACAGCTTCCGGTCCCTCTGACACCCTCATGCTCTCTCCTCTCACAGTGTCCCCCAGGCCCCAGCCTGTGGTCTCTGGGGATGACACCTCAAGCACAAGAGGCCAAGGCCGAGGCCGGGAGAAGTAAAAGGACTCACGGATTTCACAGGTGGCCTGCCAGGGCTCCTCCTCCAGCGGGTCAGAGTCTGAGCGGTCCAGGGTCTCCACACTCAGGGTACCCCCGGGTGAGAGGGCCATGAAACCCGGACAAGGGGCTTCCCACAAACCAGTAGGAGACGTGTGGGGTCGCAGAACTGGGGGCCAGGGGTGTAGACCCGCAGAAGAGCACTGGGGTGGGGGGTGCGCAGGGTTCCCGCGCGCTGCGTGACGTGCGGGGGCGGGGAGGTGCGGGGGAGGGGCAAGGAAGCCCTCACTGCCACGGGGTGTTGGGTGGAAGGGTGAAGGGCTCATGCGGGGCATTCATGCTGGGTGGGGGGGTTAGGGAGTCCAGTGGGGGAGGGGGGAGGAGAGCCCTCAGGGTGGATGGGGTTAAGAGCCCACTTCTATGAGGGGGTTTAGGGTGTGGGGTGAGGGGGATGCAGTAAGGGGACACTGAGTTGGAGGCGGAGTTGGGGGAGACTAGGGCAGGATGGGGAGATAGGGAGCTGGGCGGGGGAGGGGTGCTCGGGGCGGGGCTTAGGGGGCTCAGTGCTCTGGGCTGAGGTGGAGGCGGGGCTCCAGCAGGGGAGGGCAGGAGGTTCAGGGGTCAGGGTGAGGGAGTTCTGTGCAGGCTTAGGTAGCTGGGGGGTAGCTTCCATAGTGGAGATGAGGAAAAAGGAGCCAGGGGGCATTTACTGCAGGTGAGGGGCCAGGGCTGCAGGCGGGCACATTTAGGCCCTACTGGGGACTCCGCAGAGGCTGTGAGTAGGAGGCAGAGGACCACTTGCAGGGGCCCAGCCTCAAGACGGTTATAGGGCTGGGCAGATGTTGGGGAGATACCAGGGGAGGGGGTCATAACTCCCTTTCTCCCAACTTGGGTGTGGGCCCGGTGACTTCCCTGTGAAAATTGCAGAATGGGGAAGGCAGTAATTCTGTGGTGAGGAACCTGACAGACCCCCGCCTCTGCTGGGCGACCAAGGTTGACTTCAACTGTGACAAGGGGGGCACTCCCCCTCCGTGGTCTTCCTCCCAACAATCCATGAGCCTTACCTCTCTCGACCCATGAGAAAATCACCAGAAGATTCCAGTAGAGGGACACTCTGCAAGATCCTGCCCAGGAGTTCAAAAACCTGCCAAGGTCATCAAAGGCTAAGAAAGTCCAAAATGCTGTCACAGCCAAGAGGAGCCCAAGGAGACCTGCCAATGAAATGTCCCATGGGATCTTGGGACCAGAAAAGGACATTAGGGAAAATGAAGGAAATGTGAGTTCACTGTGGCTTGTTAGTTTAGGTAGCAACGTATTGGTGCTCCATCTCTTGTAACAAACTGTAGATATAAAACTGTTCTGAAATTATTATTTTTTGATAATACAGTATTGTTAACTGTAGTCCCATGCTGTGCATCACATTCTCACAACTTGCTTATTTTGTAAATGGAAGTTTGTGTCTTTTGACCACCTTCACCCATTTTGTCACCCGACCCCTCATCCTCCACCTCTGGCAACCACCATCCTGTTCTCTGTAGCTCTGAGTTCAGGGGTGTGTGTGTGTGTGTGTGTGTGTGTGTGTTTAGATTCCACATATAAAAGTGGTCATATGGGGAACACAATTATCATATGATTGCACTCATATGTGGAATTTAAAAAACAAACGAGAAGAGCATAGAGGAAGGGAAGGGAAAATAAAACAAGAAGAAATCAGAGAGGGAGACAAACCATAAGAGACTCTTAATCATAGGAAACAAACTGAGGGTTGCTGGAGGGGAGGGGGAGGGGGGGGTGGGGTAAGTGGGTGACGGGCATTAGGAGAGCCCATGATGGAATGAGCACTGGGTGTTATATGCAACTGATGAATCACTGACCTCTACCTCTGAAACTAATAATACACTGTATGTTAATTAATTGAATTGAAATAAATTAAGATAAAATTTAAAAAAGAGAGGTCATATGGTGTTTGTCTTTCTCTGTCTGACCTATTTCACTTAGCATAATATGCTCAAGTTCCATCCATGTTGTTGCAAATGGCAAGATTTCCTTCTTTTTATGGTGAGTAATATTCCACTGTGCACACAGACAATATTTTCTCTATCCGTTGATTCACGGACACTCAGGCTGCTTCCAGGTCTTGGCTGTTGTAAATGATGCTGCAGTGAACACGGGGGTGCAGACAACTTTTTGAATCAGTGTTTTCGTTTTCTTTGGATAGATGCCCAGAAGCGGGATTGCTGGGTCTTAGGGTAGCTCTATTTTTAACTTTTTGAGGAACCTCCACACTGTTCTCCAGAGCGGCTGCACCAGCTCGCATTCCCACCAACGGTGTAGGAGGGTTCCCCTTTCTCCGCACCCTCGCCAACACGACATTTCTTGTCTTTTCGATTTTAGCCATACTCACAGGTGTGAGGTGATCTCATTGTGGTTTTGATTTGCATTTCCCTGATTAGTGATATTGAGCATCTTTTTATGTGTCTGTTGGACGTCTGTAGGTCTTCTTTGGAAAAAAAGGTAGTATTGAGACCTGCTGCCCATTTTTTAAGAGGATTGTTTGTTTTATTGCTATTGAACTATATGTGTCCTTTATATATTTTGAATATTGGCACCTTATCAGATATAGAATTAACAAATTTGAAGTTTTATGGTTTCAGGTCTTAACGGTTAAGTCTTCAAGGCATTTTGAGTTTATTTTTGTGTGTGGTATAAGAAAGTGGTCCAGTTTAATTCTTTTGCATGTCCAGTTTTCCCAACACCATTGATAGAAGAGGCCATCTTTTCTCATTGTATATTCTTGGCTCCTTTGTCATAAATTAATTGGCCATGTATGCATGGATTTATTTCTGGGCTGTCTATTTTATGTCTGTCTACTGATCTGTGTGTCTGTTTTTATGCGGCTATCACACCATTTTAACGATTACAGCTCTGTGATACAGTTTGAAATCAGGAAGTATGATGTCTCCAGCTTTGTTCTTCTTCCTCAAGATTGCTTTGGCCATTTGGGGTCCTTTGTGGTTCCATACACATTTTGGGATAGTTTGTTTTATTTCTGTGAAAAATGCCATCAGAGTTTTGCTAGGGATTGCACAGAGTCTGTAGATTGTTTTGGGTAATGTGGATATTATAACAATATTAGTTACATGAGCACAGGATATTTAAGATACCCTTCTAAATATTTAAAAAATATTTATTCTAAAATTTTTTATTTTTAATTTAAAAAAATTTTTTAAAGATTTATTTTTTTAGAGAGAGCGAGAGCATGAGCAGGAGGGGCAGAGGGAGAGGGAGAGAGAGAATCTCAAGCAGACTCCCTGCTGAGTGCGAGCCCGACACGGGGCTCGATCTCACCACCCTGAGATCATGACCTGAGCTGAAACCAAGAGTCAGATGCCTAACTGACTGTGCCACCCAGGCACCCCCAATTTTTTAAATTTTAAATTTAATTTTTTTGTAGTGAAAACTGTCTTTGTTGCTTTCTCCTCCTCTTATTTAGCTTAGTTTTGTTTTTTAACAAGGACACCAGAGTGAAAATCATCACAGGGACCAGGAGTGACTGGGGCCGCCTGACCCCTGCATCACTCCTGAACCCCCTGGCCCATCTGCATTGTTCTGGAGTCTGGAGGATGCCAGACTCCTTGGGGGGCCCCAGGGGCCGTTCCAGCTCCACGGAAGGGACAGTGTGCTCATTGTTGGGATCATACAGCAGGAAGAGCGCCTGGGGGACAGGAGCGCCTGGTCCTCACCATGTGGGGCAGAGGCTCACGGAAGGTTCTGCACAGGGTGAGTGGACAAGGACTGGTGTGGCCCCAGGATGCTCCCACGCAGGAGCCCTGCTGTCAGTTTTGGGGTCCCTGGGCACCCTGTTGCAGCTGTCTGGAGGGGGGGCATGGAGAGGGGGTGCCCTGGTGGTCTGGAGACAGGCCTCAGAGGAGCTGGCCTCTTGGTGACCAGGTCAGTCCCTCAGGCCACCCCCAAGATCGGACCCTGAGCTATGCAAGCCTGCTCTGCTGGCCATGGGTGCTAGGCCTGTGGGGATCTCTGGGCACCTGTTCTCACCCATGGAAACCCCAGGAAGCCTAAGATCACACACGTGGAGAGTCCCTTGTGGGAACAAAGGGCAAGACCTAAAATAGGCTTCCTCCACCTCCACGGGAATTCCTGGCTGAGCCCTGGCCATGCACCCGGCATCATCCAGGCCTGTGAGGGCCGGTTTGGAAGCTTCCAGGTGAGCTCCAGCCCCGCCCAACCCAGACCAGGATGCCTGATCTCCCTGCCCTCCCATGGCCAGGACGTCAGCCGGGCAGCCGTGGGCACAGGTCACGCACACTGACAGCCTTTGCAGGAGCCCCCACAGCCTCAGAGCCCCCGTGGGCATTGGATGAGGTCCCACCTGGCCCGGGGGTCACTCTCAGGTGGCTGCTAACACCCTCTTCCGGCCTGACAGGGTCACCCACAGCTCGATCCCGGGGGTGAGGGGGAGGTTCAGGCGCTTTGGGCCCGAGAGCGTCCTCCAGACTGCGGTGGCCCCCAGCCCAGCTGGGGTCGGGGGCGGTCATGTGTAGCCAGAGTGGATCCCAGCCCGGGGCCAGGGCGCGAAGCAGGTTGGACGCTTGTGTCCTGGGACTGGGGAGAGACAGCCCCAGCCCACGCCAGCCCTCATGCTGTCCTGTGTTTCTGCGGTGGCCCCAGGAATAGCAGGAGGGGCTCGGGGTCCCACAGCAGGCAACTGGAGAGAGTTCTGGGGCAAACGAAGCAGGGAGAGGGGGCCTGGCAGCCGGCGCCGTGACGCGCCTCACCTGGAGAGCAGGTTGGCCAGGGGCAGACGCCGGGCACCACCGCCCTGAAGCATGTTTGGGGAGCGACCGAGCACGAGTGTCCATCTAGGGGCTGGAGTTTGGGTCCTTTTTCCTTTTCTCCAGATATCAGGTGGGGGCTCCTGGCTGCCTGTAGCTCAGGCAGGCAGAGACGGAGACAGCACCGGGCGGCAGGGGCTCACGGACTTCACACCTTGGTGCCCTCCCTGGACGGCGGGCTCCCCGGGAGAGAGGCTGCACTCCGCCCTCTGCCGGGTCTGGAGCTGCTTTCCCAAACCGGCGCTCCGTGGGCACACTTT